ACATCTACTAGGTATGATACTCTCTCCAACCACTCTATGTCGTTTTAAGTATACCAAAAAGTCTTGTTTCCTTTTCACTTCCAAGAACAATTTGATTTCAGATTTCAATTCAAAAACACAATTTACAGCATTTCGTTTGACAGCCAGCGTATTGTAGTGTAGAAGAGCAGAACCTCGTGATCTATATTAATGTTTTTGCTCAGTTCTTTGAAGGCTCCAGATTTTATATAAATTACGACTTATACTAGCAATGGACTCTTGATGTCGATTGGTTAGGGCAGTTGTTAGGGAGCTAAATCTTTTCTGTTTTCTGAAAGCCCGATTTTGAGCTAAACATAGAGCAACTCTTCTTTGCATGAATATAGACACAGACCAGCAACTACGAACACGAACTCACGTCGGTTGATTTATCAACTTGAAAAGCAAACAATGGTGAAAGCTTAATTTCAATAAAAATGTGTTATTTAACATTTACGTTCATGCAGCGTTTGATGAGATTTTCTCCTATTGTTTTTTTTTTTTTTTTGCTTGGCATTTTCTATCGCGACTTCATTTGATGCTTGCCCTAATGCTGGTGAAAACTTCCTGTTAAATCAAGTCTCTGGCGTTTGCAACTAGCTTCTTACCGACGAAAGAACTCCATATATTTTTTGGTGTGTTCCGAATGACTCGTCTTAAATGACGTTTTAATTTTGAAGATTTCATAGATTCGTGACTGAGAACAACTTTGTACAGTGCGCTTTGTTTCTTCTCTATTACATTTCCAGTGATGTTAATGAAGCCGAATTTCAAAAATTCTTCTAAATATTTATGTTTTGTTTCAAATTACTAAGGTTTAGTATACCAGTTGGCGACCCCCCAGAAAGACCTTCGCGACCCCCAGGTTGGGAACCCGTGGTCTAGGTAGTAGGTGATGGTCTAGGAAGGAGGCGATGGTCTAGGTATAGGTGATTGTTTAGGTAGTAGGTGATGGTCTTGGTGATTGTTTAGGTATATGTGATTGTATCTGGTATCAGAAACAGCTGTTGGTGAATGGCGTTCGGTCATAAAAGCAACAGTTTGTGGAGACTTGTCATATGTGTTTGTCTGTCATGTGTTTGGGACTGTCCTTTTAGATGTGAGGGCTGAAACATTCAAATTCAACGATTTACACAATAAAATAAAAATAAAAAGTTGAGGCGGGGGGGGGGGGGGGGGGGGGGGAAGAAATGTAGTGCCTTATAAGACTTTGCTGTCGACCACGAGTGGTCTACACAGTGTATCCATCCAGATTACTTTCTGTGTGTGTTCAGTGTTCCGTCACCCAATGTAGTCGTCTGCCGTTTAGTGTAGGCCACATCCAGTGTTTCTTCCAGACTTTTCTCTCCGGGGGGCACTTGAAATCTTCGGGGGGGGGGGGGCGGTAAACTTTCTTCGGGGGGGGGGGGCGGACACTGTTAAAAGTATATATTTTCTATATAAGTTATATAAATTTCATTTCGTTCGGGGGAGGGGGGCGGTAAAAATTTTTCGGGGGGCTTTGACCCCCCGAAGAGATGCCTGGAAGAAACTCTGGCCACATCAACCACACGATTCTTGTTACATGACCCTGTTGCTTTGTACATACGACTGTACTGAAGACACTTCTGTACTGTAACATTCGCGCCCCCCCCCCCCCCCCCCCCCCCCGACTAGGCTCATGCTGTTTTTATGAGCGAAGATAACAAGCGCAGCTGTCCATTGGGATTAACAGTTCGGTACAGAGACAAAGAAGAAAAGTATAGATACCTATTACAATATGTTCCCAGTTACAAGATTCAGAAACACATTAAAAATCATAGTGTGGCTTCTTGTATATTTTAAAATCTGAAGTAATTGATAATTCCATTTACCAAGAAAAATTGGACAGCGTTGTCGAATAGTAGAGTTTATGTCTGATAACCCGAATGTCTTGAGTGCGGATCCCGGGCTTGAGACTGTAGGACATCACAGAGTCCACTCAGCTCTGATGGGTACCTAGCTTATGTTAAGGAAAGTATAGGTGGCTGGGCATGGTGATGACTACACTTACCCTTCATATGCCGAGGTGACAGAAACAGGTGAATTCCACTTCATCTGCGCCATACGGTACCGATTGTGAAAGGGTAACTTTAAGAAATTTGTCGAGCTCTTGGACTGCACTATGTACTTTGACCACTGCCCTATATACCACGGCACCATATACACTGACCCTTGCACCATGTTGCACTATTCAGCACACGAGAACTAGTTTTAACATGTACAAGTACTCCAGTCTATAATATGTGAAAACCACACACGTTACTTGCATTGGTACTGCACTCTTCAAGAGTACTCTGGGAGTTTTCGTGTGTTAATAATCGTCGTGGTAAATCAATACAGGGTGTTTTTTTGTTCAACCCAAGACTAAGTCCGCGATATGCATACACCCACAGTACCTCCACTACCGTATATACCTACCATTCACTCAAACAGTACTGTACCTGTTAGCTAACTTTGTCACGTTTCTGATGGTTTTCCTTATGTAGTTTTTGTGTTCAACCCAAGACTAAGTCCACGATATGCCTACACCCACAATATCTCCACTACCGTATTACTATAAACCGACCATTCCCTCAAACCTTCGTGTACCTGTTAGCTAACCGTGTCATGTTTCTTATGTACACCTGAACTAATCCCCTGACCCGTGGATACAACACCACTACATGTCACGTTATCTCAGTTGTATTTAGAGATCCTGTATTTGTTTACATTGTATTTTCTTACAAAGTTAGTAATAATTTGCTTTTACCTTCTCTACGTCTTTTAAGCCATTAGTGTAAAAAGACAATTTATGACTTAAAAGCTATTACAATTTTGTTTTAACAATTTTCTCTGTTGTCAAATATTCAAACTTAACTCTGACCGATTAGTACCGTGTCAATCGTTTAGAAGTTTGTTAAAGGGTTATAAATGATTTATTGTAATAACTAGTCCCGTGAATATCGAATGTTTATTATCTATATATATATAATTCTCTTCTGGGAGCCGTTAGAAAACAAGCTGCAAGCGCCTCCTTGCAGTCCCCTCTCTTTCTCTATATCACTATCACTACCACCACCACCCCACCCCACATTGTTTGGTGAGCGGTGTTCACTCGAAATGTTTACAAAGCTAAATGTTTACAATTCGTAGAGCCGTAGAGCCGGGTTTCTATTAGGGGCAGATAATTTAGTTCGATTTTAAATTTACAGGATGTAACTTAGAAATAACTAAGAGGAGGCTGCTTTCACGGGGGGGGGGGGGGGGGGGGGGTGTAGGGTCGGGGTTAGGGGAAAAAAAAAAGGGGGGGGGGGTTAGTGTTTTAAAGCAAATATTTTCAGTGGCAGCATTGGTACTGTCGAATTCACAAATTATGAATTACTGAAAAGTAGAAAATTAAACAACTAAATAGCGGCGTATGATATGCCGCGGGTCGGCTCGTGTATCTTAATATAGCCCTTTGGACATGGTAGACTCGTGTCATAATATAGCCCTTACTCTGATAATAGTAGACCAGACTCGGAGTGTGACTGTTTACTAGATTCTAGCTGCTAAAGACCAGTCACGCTTGACTTAAGACAGAAATACACACAAGGTCACTCACCCATGACGGAGAAGTGTTTAGCCCGTAGGAAGTTGGTACCATAGCTATTAAAGAAGCTATAAGTGCAGTACTATAGGTCGTAGTTTCAACCGCTGATCCTTATAAAGAAGGCTATAAGTGCAGTACTATAGGTCGTACTTTCAACCGCTGATCCTTATAAAGAAGGCTATAAGTGCAGTACTATAGGTCGTAGTTTCAACCGCTGATCCTTATAAAGAAGGCTATAAGTGCAGTACTATAGGTCGTAGTTTCAACCGCTGATCCTTATAAAGGCTATAAGTGCAGTACTATAGGTCGTAGTTTCAACCGCTGATCCTTATAAAGAAGGCTATAAGTGCAGTACTATAGGTCGTAGTTTCAACCGCTGATCCTTATAAAGAAGGCTATAAGTGCAGTACTATAGGTCGTAGTTTCAAACACTGATCCTTATAAATGCTATAAGTGCAGTACAGTATCGAGTTTTGTTATTTTACTCAACGTTGGGATCTGAGTTACGATTTTAGGATGAGGATGAAGGATTGGATGGGGATAATTTTTTGTGTCAGGGCACTAGAGTGGCAATGCCGGGAGGGGGGGGGGGGGGAGGGGGAGGGGCGTTGTTGTGGTCGGCACCGGGTGACACCATTTAGAAGGTGACACCAAATCGAAAAATCATAAAATGTATAGTCAAAACAATATTTTATCCAGTTAAAATAGTAGTAAAGGGAATGTGAAAAAATAATTGGAGAAGGTGGGGTGACACCCTCAGTTACCACACCGGGTGTCACCCGACCTAGTGACGCCACTGGGTCGTGGTGAATGTATGTGAAGGAGCATGTTTAAAGTAACGAGAGTAGCAAAAACACACTAGCCACTCACAGTGTGTTATCTCGGCCGAGATTTTAACAACTTGCTATAGTTGTTCTTGGTAGAGGCTACGTATTTGTGTGTGCGTGTTAGTTCGTATGCGTATGTGTACTTGTCCTTGTATTTTTTTTTTATTCGCACGAAGTATTTATAAATAAACCTCGGGAAATGAATTATTTGTAAACATGGCTGTCGCCCCCCCCCCCCCTTTCTCAGCAAGCCCAGATAATTAATGTCTGTCTAATTACTGCCCGATTCAATTAGCACCTCAGTCTTCCTACTTCGCGTGATTAAGCTTCCTATATTGGCACTGCTAGGTCTAAAGTAAACACTACCATAACACTGGTTTGATGAGGAGGTGGGGGGGGGGGGGGGCTTGTTTGTCGGCGCCTTAAGGTCTGAAGCAAATGTCAACATATCACGTGGGTTCGATTCTCAGTTCTATAAGCTACGACGACATAAAAAAATTTAAGTTAAATTTCGCCAAACTTCCAAGACATGTTTTGAATGAAAGAACAGAACCAACTACGTAATGGAGATTGTGACTTTTTCATTGGCCACAAAGTAACGGTATTAGTTTAAAAAACAACACTTTTTGCTAGTATCGATACCCTTACCTTAGAACTGACTCTGGCACTAACCCTATCCTACCCCCGACCCTTATACCAGAGGCGTAGCGAGGGGGGGGCGGACCGCACCGGGTGCCACCATTTAGGGGGGTGACACCAAGGCAAAAAATAGCAAAATATATAGAGAAAAATGATAATTCCACTGAATTAAGTGATTAATTCGAGTGTTAAATAGTCTTTAAAGAGGTGCAAATCGAAAATTGAAAGTTTGTCCCCTGGTAGGGTCGCTACACCTCTGGGGGGTGACGCCATTAAGTGCCGCACCGGGTGACACCCGACCTCGCTACGCCACTGCCTTATACTATCAGACGACTCCACTTTAACACTGTAACGTAACAGCGCTGGGCCCAACGTTAGAAACAATGCGGTTAGTCATAGTGGCCTTTATTTCTTTATATAGAACAGAAAACTAAACCAAACTCCTGTATTGAAGAGCAGAAGTTTTTCACTTTCGCGTCAGGATTTGATTAGTACTGCCTAACAACATTACCGCATCGATCGCGGAGGGGGTGTGGCGAAAGGGGGTCAAAGCTGCTAGGATCATGTGTTTGAGCAAATAAGAAAAGTGAAATGTCTATCTCCTTCCTCCTCCCTCCCTCCTGGCCCGGTCAAGTAAAGTAGAGACAAGCCCGATCAATACGGTAAAATCCAGGGATTTTGTGAAATGGATTTTTTTTTGTTGCTTTCCCATGTGTTGCGAACATGGCCTTATCGTGGGGTTTAAATTAATAAGGGATACACGTTAAGCCCTCTCCCAGTTCGACGCTGTTCAGATTTTCAGAGTTTTTGTTTAAATTAAATCATTGTTGCTTTTATACATGAACAGCATTCTCTCGCTTCCTATAGACTCTATATCCAGTTTGACTTAATGTTTGTTTATTAGTAGTTGATTCATCCGTTAGTATTTTACTGTTAACTCTGAATGATGTACGGACATTTCTCTACTATGTTTATTTCACTGCAGATCGTGTATGGGGATGGAAGGGGGGAGGGGGGGGGGGGGAGAAGAGGAGGGTAGGCAGTGGACGGAAGAGAGGAGGTAGTTGACGGTAGGGATCTAATTATCCAATTGTTCCCCCTTACTTCAGGTTTCTTTTGATCTCATTCCCATTAGAGTTAATAAATACAGCGCCTAATTAAAAAGGTCTTAGTCTGTAATTTAAGTGCAGACGTTAGAAAAAGGTATTTAGAGATAAGGGATATTCTGCCTCTTTTGTGACTGTATGTAGTGGGTGGTGGGGGGATGTGGAAAGGAGAATAGAAACTAAAACATTTTGTTTTAAGGCATTTTGAATGATGTGTGTGTGTGTGTGAGGGGGGGGGGGGGGGAAAGAGGGGAGATCTGTGTTGTTCTGACCATTTAATAATATGTACGGGGAAAGGATAAGACGAAAACAATGTGACATCTCAGCCTGGCAGTTTATTTATTCTTTAGATCTGTATGTGCCATATTTTCCTTCATGTTGGGTGTTTAATTAACTTTTGTTCCCTTGTTCCCTAGATCCAGCAGTTGTTTAATTAACTTGTGTTCCCATGTTCCCCAGCATTTGTTTAATTATGTTCCCATGTTCCCTAAATCCAGCAGTTGTTTAACTAATTTGTGTTCCCATGTTCCCCAGCAGTTTTTAAATTAACCTTTGTTCCCATTTTCCTCAGCATTTGTTTAATTATGTTCCCATGTTCCCTAAATCCAGCAGTTGTTTAACTAATTTGTGTTCCCATGTTCCTCAGCAGTTGTTTAATTATGTTCCCATGTTCCCTGGATCCAGCAGTTGTTTAACTAACTTGTGTTCCCATGTTCCCCAGCAGTTGTTTAATTAACTTTTGTTCCCATGTTCCCTAGATCCAGCAGTTGTTTAATTAACTTTTGTTCCCATGTTCCCCAGCAGTTTTTTAAATAACTTTTGTTCCCATGTTCCCTAGATCCAGCAATTGTTTAATTATCTTTTGTTCCCTTGTTCCCTAGATCCAGCAGTTGTTTAATTAACTTATGTTCCCATGTTCCCATGTTTTATTATGCTTGTTCCCATGTTCCCCAGCAGTTGTTTAATTAACTTGTGTTCCCTTATTCCCTAGATCCATCAGTTGTTTAAAGCAATCAGAGAAGCTTCAAAAGACATCAAGCCTGAAGGTCAGACTACAGGGTCCAGCTCAGACTCAGGCTGTCCCTGGGAGGGGAGTGACCAGTCCAAGTCATTGTTTGAGGTCAGTTACCCTTGGGTAGGCTGTCCCTGGGAGGGGAGTGACCAGTCCAAGTCATTGTTTGAGGTCAGTTACGCTTAGGCTGTCCCTGGGAGGGGAGTGACCAGTCCAAGTCATTGTTTGAGGTCAGTTACCCTTGGGTAGGCTGTCCCTGGGAGGGGAGTGACCAGTCCAAGTCATTGTTTGAGGTCAGTTACCCTTGGGTAGGCTGTCCCTGGGAGGGGAGTGACCAGTCCAAGTCATTGTTTGAGGTCAGTTACCCTTGGGTAGGCTGTCCCTGGGAGGGGAGTGACCAGTCCAAGTCATTGTTTGAGGTCAGTTACCCTTGGGTAGGCTGTCCCTGGGAGGGGAGTGACCAGTCCAAGTCATTGTTTGAGGTCAGTTACCCTTGGGTAGGCTGTCCCTGGGAGGGGAGTGACCAGTCCAAGTCATTGTTTGAGGTCAGTTACCCTTGGGTAGGCTGTCCCTGGGAGGGGAGTGACCAGACCAAGTCATTGTTTGAGGTCAGTGACCCTTGGGTAGGCTGTCCCTGGGAGGGGAGTGACCAGTCCAAGTCATTGTTTGAGGTCAGTGACCCTTGGGTAGGCTGTCCCTGGGAGGGGAGTGACCAGTCCAAGTCATTGTTTGAGGTCACCCTTGGGTAGGCTGTCCCTGGGAGGGCAGTGACCAGTCCAATTCATTGTTTGAGGTCAGTTACCCTTGGGTAGGCTGTCCCTGGGAGGGCAGTGACCAGTCCAAGTCATTGTTTAGAGATTAAAGTGGGTATCAGTTGAAGCCTAGAGTTAGGTTAGAATTAGGTTTAAAGTATTGTTCTCAATGATGTTTTTAGCCACGTGATGTTGTAGGTGTGGTTATTCATTTATTACACCGGGGCAGATGAGGCTTGACAGCTGGGGATAGCAAGTAGAGAAAATTCCAAAATCAAACAACTTCTTCCTTGTCATCTGTTCTTGGTTGGACAAAGGCTATGGAAGCAAATCCAAAAAGAAAAGCAGGCTGAAATCTGAGTCAACTGCCTATATGGCGCATAATATTTGACACTTAATACTAAATTGTGTTGGAGGAAATCCCCTCCAACATTATAATTAAGAACAAAGAAGATGAAAAAGAATTGATTACCAACAATTATTTTTCTATATTTTCACATACTTGTAGAGTTAAGTGTATCCCCCATTTCAGCAGTAGAAAATATTACTATTATTAAAAGGAATCTAATCAAATTCCAACCCGGATTTGAACCCAGAACAGAAGTCCTAACATTTATATATTGAACACCAGGGCTACTTTATATTTAATAATTTTATATAACATACAAATGCTTTATTTGTTTTGACTTCAGGTGAAGTACATAGGTCGAGCTAAGGTAGGGGCAAAGCGTGTCACAGCTGAGTACATAGACTGCCTGGCTGAGAAGATGATTGCCAGGGAGGAAGATCTGTTGATGAAGCGGATCGAGGAGAGGGAAGAAAGGAGGAAACAGGAAGAGAAGGTGATGAAAACACACAAAGATAAAAATGTTCATTTTAAAATTGCTTTTACACAAAGAAAATTTTTTTTTTTTTAAATTCTCAATTTGTTTTAATTATTAATAGTGGGATCTAGAATATTATGAAATACATTGTTGTGAATAACAAAATTCATGAAATAAATAATTCGATTTTATAACCCAACCTATTCTGTTTTGATATTGATATATTTCCATTGGCCCATGTTAACATATCTTTCATATTTCATACTGTGATAAGTCTGTGGATGGAGTGGGGTAACTCCCCTAAATGAATTATCTCCCTTAGACTGCATTTAAAAAAAAAAAAAACTTGGGAGTTTTTCTTTTGTGTTAAAAATGGCCAACATTCATGTTAAAATATTCCCAAAACAATATTCACTAGATTTACAAAAAATATTATTTTATACATGATTTATTAAATCTGCTGAAAATTCTTGTTCTGTATCTGTTTACTTGTATTGTTAAGTTATGTACAAATATTGTGTTCTATTCAAAGTTATTAAATACTCGTAAAGTTATATTTTAAGGCCTTGTTAGATCTGTATTGCTAAATGTACATGTATTAAAGTTTTCCCTGTATTTTACCCACCAGATCAAAGAAGAAGACAGTGCCACAGTTCCAGACCAGCCTGACAATGCACCCAACCTGGAGCATGGCTTCCAGTCAGACCACCCAAAGCCTGAACTAGACCTGGCCCACCTCACGGACAGATCTTGTCAAGGCTCCAGTTCCAGCCTAGAGAACACAACCTCAGGTTCCTCTAGCTTGCACCATACACAGGAGTACAACTCAGTGGACATAACCAGTCCAGGGGAGATAACCAATCCAGGGAACATAACCCCAGGCTATGCCGGCTCTGGCCATTTTTTCATTCCATCATCCCCCAGTACCAGTTCTGTGGAGAGCAACTTCAGCTTCACCGAGCCACCCAGAACAACGGAGCCACCCAGAAACACGGAGCCACCCAAAACCACGGAGCCACCAAGCCCATCCACCACATTTCACAGTGACCCTCTGGGCGTGTTATCAGCTGCCCAACCCCCGTCCCCAAACAACGCAGACACCCTTGTAAACAAGTCCGACCCGTCACGCCGGCGCCATTCATCCCACAGGGAGGAGGGGAACGTGTACAGTGAATCTGTCATCAACAGGTTCCGCCACGCCAGCGGGGACTCGCAGGATAGCTTGGTCAGCCTGCATGAGCCGAGCCGGGTGATGGTCCTGCAGATTAGCCATCAGGATATCTCTCTCATCAGCCTGGACAAGAAGGTGGCCATACTGGAGTGCAAGTTTAAAGACATCTCCTCTGTGTCACAGGTAAATTGGTAACACAATTATTTTAAAATTACACCATCTCCTCTGTGTCGCAGGTAAATTGGTAACACAATTATTTTAAAATTACACCATCTATTCTATATCGCAGGTAAATTGGTAACACCATTATTTTAAAATTATATATTCTTTGATTTGGAGTATATGTGCTCACTTTTTTCTCTACAACTAATTCAATTATTGATTAGGCCATTAACATGAATAGTGTGAGGCGTGTTAAGTCACCATTTAAAAAGTACCTTGACCTGTCTAGCCAAGAATGATTTAGGTCATAGGAAGTCATTCTGATGCAGTAAAAAATCAATGTTGGTAAACAAAAATTGTGAATGCGATGTGTGAGAGCCATGATGAAAGCAAGCTTTTGGGTTAGATAAAAAAAATTGTGTAAAGAGCTTTTGCTGTTGCACCTGCACAATTCGTTACTCTCTTGTGAAGGCATATAGAGATAAGGATGCCAAAGTTGTCTGTGCTTCTTTCCCCTTGTTTCCTAGGTGGTTTTTTTGGGGAGTCTTTCTTTTACATGAATGTATGAGAGTAATAAAACATAGTGTTTTTGACGGTCAGTGGGGCAGATGAAGTGGAGTTCATCATGAATTGATAGTTTGGTCAGCACTATGCCCAGCCGAATTGGCTGTGTCTAACTCAACTCATGATAGTTGGGTAGACTCAGCACTGTGAACCAAACTCTAGAGACTAGCGTGGTTATCTCCCATAATAAGTGTATCATCTGTTTTTATTGAGTGCTTTGTTTTCCAGGGGCACCAGAAGCCTGATATGTTTGGTGTGGTGGTCAGGGAGGGAAACACATTTATCTGCTACATCCTCAGATGCCTCAATGGACCAATGGTAAGTCACCATAGCCTTTTATCTGCTACATCCTCAGATGCCTCAATGGACCAATGGTAAGTCACCATAGCTGTCTGACAGCTGCCTGTAATTTCTGTCTTTGAATATAAATAGAAAAATAAAGACATCTTGTAAATGATAATTTTTCTGACATTAAACTTGAGACTTTTGGGTCAGCTGTTGCATGCTCTACCATTTGACCACAATGTCCATGTTCAGTGTTAAATATATATGTTCATATTAGTTTCTAATCTGTATTTGTGACACCAAAATTTTAAGTTTAAATTACAGTTATTTGTTCAATTGTAATCCAATAGTTTTAATATTTTGTAAATAAGTTGTAATCTGTGAATGGCACTCCGTTGTTGGTTATCTATTGAGAGTAGTTTACTCTAATTATGTTTAAATCTTGACTTATGTGCTAAGCAGTCAACTTATGCCTTCAGCCATGTTAGAAATTGGTCAGATTTTTTAATAGACATATTTTGTTACATGCCTGTAATAGGTATTCTTCGAACTTAACACATACTTTATTAAATAGCTAATACTAGCCAATTTTATAAATATGTGTCAGGTTTTTTGAGTTTTTATAAAGATCATTAGCTGTGGTAGAGTAATTTTTGGGGAAAAAACCACAGTGATTGTGTACTTTGAAACTGCTATATAATTGGTAGAGGTAATGGAATTTAATATAGATTTTATGATTTAGCATTTGAAATTGAACATTGTATTTGACTTGAACAGAGCTTGTTGTGTGACACTGTTTGACATTAATGGGAGACGTAAATCAATGCCACAAATGTCATCCTCAGCTTTTCTTTCAATTAAGGGGAGAGAACTGAATGTCAGGTGTCAAAAATTGCCAGATTTTTGTTTTGTATGGATCCTTTTTTTATTCTTGGGACTAGAAAAGCCTTGGGCTATAATTATTCCTGGCTGTTTGATTAGAGAACAACTGCTCTCGTGTGCTGTAATAGTTTGGTGCAATAGTGTTATTTTCTGATAAATGGTTGATTTTGATTCATTAAAAAGAATTTTAAAAACTTAACTGTTGATTATATCATTAATTATACTTTTGAAATATTTTAAACAGTGAAGTAAGTAATAGTTTTTTTTTTTTTTTAGCTGTGACTGATTACTATCTATGCATTCTTTTATTGACTTGATTTTACTTAATATTCATGTGTCAAAGATTACAAGTTAGACTTGTGAGTTTGCGCTATAATATTTTCCCTTTCTCGCCATGGACACTTGGGGCAGATAAAGTAGAGTTCATCTGCTTCAGAGACTTCAGCATATAGGTATAGTGTAATCATCACTACTGCCTTTTTCCCCTAACTTGAGTTAGGTACCCTTCAGAGCTGGACATACTACTGACTTGAACCGGATTTAAACTCAAGACTTTTGGGCTAGCAGTCTAGCTCTCTACCGCTAGGCCATCCCATCACCAAGGTTTAAGTTTATCAGCATAGCAAGATAAAACATGTCATGATGGAATACAGTTCAAGTTTTTTGTGTGCAGGTGACTGAGATAATGGGTACACTACAGACGGCGTTTACAGCTGCGTACAGCAAGGGTGGGAGTGCAGCCACAACAGCCACCACGCAGCAGCAGATGTGCACCATGTGCCCCCTGCACCAGCTGCACAGGCTCAGTCAGGAGATGTCTTGTGAGTCAACTCTGTCATGTCAATTTTTTTATGTCAACTCTGTCATGTCAACTCTGTCATGTCAATTTTTTTATGTCAACTCTGTCATGTCAACTCTGTCATGTCAATTTTTTAATGTCAACTCTTTCATGTCTGCTTTGTCATGTCAACTCTGTCATGTCAGCTCTGTCATGTCAGCTCTGTCATGTCAACTCTTCATGTCAGCTCTGTCATGTCAGCTTTGTCATGTCAACTCTGTCATGTCAACTCTGTCATGTCCATTTTGTGATGTCATCTTTGTAATGTCAGCTATATGATATTAACATTTGTGAAAAGTCAGTGTACATGTATTGTCTCTAGAAGACCCAGCCTGTGTATGTATTTATTTGCTGTTTGATGAGACTTTGACTTGGTTGAAATGTTTGAAGAAATAATTATCATTTTTTAAGTATTTCACCTCATACATAATGAATAATCAAACAGTTTTACTACTATATTCTTTTAAATACACTTAAGCAATTACATAATTACATGATCTTTTTTTTAACCATTAGTTTTAAATTCAGCATTTTATTGCAGTTTTCTTTATTCTTACTTTTTAGTTGACCGTATACAGTAATACAAAAATGTTCATCTGTATTGAAGAAATATTATAACAGCAACCAACTTGTGAACTGATGTATTTCATATTGTCCTCAGCCCTCTCCACACAGGCAGCCCATGATTTGCTGGTGAAAAAAGTTCATCAGTTGCCTGAAAAAGATGTTACTGACTTCAATCATTACATGCAGGTAGGGCATGAACCTTTACATGCAGGTAGGGCATCAGTCATTACATGCAGGTAGGTCATCAATCATTACATGCAGGTAGGGCATCAATCATTACATGCAGGTAGGGCATTAGTCATTACATGCAGGTAGGGCATCAATCATTACATGCAGGTAGGCATGAATCATTACATGCAGGTAGGGCATGAATCATTACATGCAGGTAGGGCATGAGTCATTACATGCATCAATCATTACAAACAGGTAGCGCATCAATCATTAAATGTAGGTAGGGCATTAGTCATTACATGCATGTAGGGCATCAATCATTACATACAGGTAGGGCATTAGTCATTACATGCAGGTAGGGCATGAATCATTACATGCAGGTAGGGCATGAGTCATTACATGCAGGTAGGGCATGAGTCATTACATGCAGGTAGGGCATGAATCATTACATGCAGGTAGGGCATGAGTCATTACATGCAGGTAGGGCATGAGTCATTACATGCATCAATCATTACAAACAGGTAGTGCATCAATCATTAAATGCAGGTAGGGCATTATACATTACATACAGGTAGTTTATCAATCATTATGTAATAATTTACTTTAAATGTTAAAAAAAAAGTTAAGGTCCAATTGTGATTGACTAGTAATTTTGAAGATTGTAATTTGCCTGTGGATTGAAAAGGTTTTCTGTAATTAGACTCTGGATGAATGTCTGTAACTAAGATGTACTAACTAATTATGTTTGTCCTTCTAGGCTGAGTCACCAGAGTCCTTTGAAGAGAACAATGAAGTGATCATGATCTACTTGAGGAAGTTGTGTGAGAGGAAACAGAAGGAACACACTCACATATCAGATGGCAACAGGACAAACAAGATTGAGGTGAGCACATTCAGATTGCTGGTGGCTGTGTGGGTTGTCTGTGTGTTAACTGAGGCCTGCACCAATTAGACACAGAGGTAAATGTGTAAGAGGCACAAAGCCTTTTATTATCATCTTATCCCATTAGTGCACAATTTAGATGGGGGAAGATGAAGCAAAGTTCTGCTGTAAATTGCCATGCTCTAGATAGGAGGCTGTAGGCTTCAACAAGGCAACTCTTGAAATTATCTGTTATATTAATGGAGGTCAGCAAGGTTGGGTTGGTTAAGCTCAGGGTTGCAGAATAAAAAATTCCAAAGTTCGAACTCCCGGGCAGATGAGGCTCAAATTGGCGTCAACGGCCTATATGGCGCATAACAAGTTCACACGTAATACTTGTGTTGGAGGGAATCCCTTCCAACTCTGGAAGTAAGAACAAAGAAGATTAATGTCCCTCTCTTCAATTGTTAAAGTGGACCCATTATTTGATATAGCCTCATGAAGCACTTACGAAATTTTCACTCATTGTATTTACTATTAAATTTTGTATAATGTTTGATTATACCTGTCAAGGAATGAGTATAGTAGATTATAATTATTTCACACATAATTCTTTGAAGTAAAGGGAGATAACAACTTGCTCAAGGCCCTGTGCATACAGATGAGTTATCTCTAACTTTTGAAAAACAGATTTTAACTTCAGTTAATGTTGCTTTACCCAACTTCAAGAAATCAACAGTTTCATTTTTTTTTCTAGGATTTAGAGATCTTCCCTTGAAAAACTAAAGTGTCAAATTAATTTCAGCTTGCATCTTTCATGTTATACAGATAAATCTGTTAGAAGAAAAGACCAAACTGTTTGAAGGATTTAGGAGCAAAGCTAGAAAAAGTCTGACGACTTCCTTTGAAAATTTACTCAGTCGGGTAAGTTAACAAATTTAATTTTCTGTTTTGGAAATCTTAACCTATATTTTTTGTTTTAGTTTAAATCTTTTTCCTCTCTAATGAATTTTAAAATTTCTTTTTGAAAATTTTGTAGCCAAATAAAAACAACAACAAAAACAACAGAAATAACAAATTTCCTGCTAAATCTAATCTAGACATGTTTATTTTGACATTTACTCCTTGAATAGTTTAACAAGAAACAATAGTATATGTCTCACACAACTAAAATATTCATTAGGTTTCTTTGTATTTCTGATACACTTTTTTAAGGTGAATTTCTCTAAAGCAGTGGTTCTTAACCTGGGTTCGATCGAACCCCTGGAGTTGGGTGAGTTAGTCTTCGTGGTTTTGAGGATGTCAAAACACACACCGAATCATATGATTGGATTTTGTCATTGCATGCGCTAAACTTAGGAAGGGTTTGGTGAATGGGCATATGAAACTGGTGAGGTTCTGTACCTCCAAAATGGTTAAGAACCACTGCCCTAAATCGAATTTAAAGGGTAAAAAAATATTTAAAAAAATACTTTTAGGCGCAACCTCACTGACATTTTTGAAAAGAAATTACTTTTTGCAATTTTGTGGATAATTTTTGCGCTACTTTAGGATTGAGTGCCTTAACCCCACAGTGTAACCTTTCTTATCCTTTAACAATCTAATCATGAACTGTTCCTAGAGGAGATTTAGAGCAATCCACTGTAGGAAAGGGTGGGTTATAATGGTTATAATATTAACTATTGGAAAGTAGGGGGGCTAGAGCAATTTAATTTAGAAGTGTGGGCAATAACAATCAATAATAATCATATATAGAACTGTGGGAAGACCAACAAGGATTTACCAAACTCAGGAGGGGGGGTCTATAACAATATTACAAAACTGGTGGGGGAGTCACAACAATATTACAAAACTAGTGGGGGAGTCACAATCATTATATATGGAAAAGTGGGATTGGTGGGGGGGGGGGGGAACTAGAACAATTATTTACAAAACTTTGCAAGGGAGGGGGAGGGGGTGGGGGGGGGGGGGGGCTAAAAATCATATTAATAACTGGGCAGGTTAGTACAATCACCTCTAGAACTGAGGGGTAGTGGGGTGGGTGTGGGGGTATACAGAGCTAGGGAAGAGCTGTCAGATTGTACAAATATGTGGGGGTACAGAAACATCTCAGTTGGTGGGGAGGGGGGATTGAGAGAAGGGGATATACAGGCTAGGGAAGAGCTGTCAGATTGTACAAATATGTAAGGGAACAGAGACATCTGAGTCGTGGGAGGGGGGGGGGGATTGGATGGAGATGGGGGGGGGGGGGGATTGAGAGAAGGGGATATCCAGAGCTTGGGAAGAGCTGTCAGATTGTACAAATATGTGGGGGTACAGAGACATATCAGTTGGTGGGGAGGGGGGATTGGATAGAGGGGGGGGGATTGAGAGAAGGGGATATACAGGCTAGGGAAGAGCTGTCAGATTGTACAAATATGTGGGGGTACAAAGATGTCTCAGTTGGTGGGTGGTGGAGGAGGGGCTTACAATTTACATATCACTTGGGGATTGGGTTGAGGTAAGGGGGGAATGAAGGATAGATAAGGATGGGGTTCGGCCATATCTGTACACTAAATCAAAGTAAACTTTCTGCACACGCTTCTATGCATGAAGAAAAAAATGTTTAGATCAGCATTATGCAAGGCTTTGAGGTGGGTGGAAATTGTACTTTTATTCAGCACGAAATCCTGTAAGTGACAAATAAGGTCAAGGTTTGCCCTTAAACAACAGAGAGAGAGAGAGAGAGACAGAGAGAGACAGAGAAGAAAGAAAAAAAGATCTGATATTGATTGTCGCCAAACTTGACTGGATCTTTGGCTCCTGCCAATATTAAATGTGATTTAGTTATTTAAATATCTGGCGGTCGCTGGATTGTTTTGTTCTCTCCTTTAGTGTTTTGTTGTTTTGTCTCTGTGGATGTGTCCTTTTAGTTGTGTGTCTAGGGAAGTGTTCCTTTTCTTTTGTTGTGCTTGGGGAGTTTGTTCTGTTAGTTTTTGAAGTATCGTTTAAATATTATTTTGACAGCAGAAGTGTCCTTTTAATTTTTGAAGTAAACTTTTAGTATTTATTTTGTGTCTGGGAAATTGTCCTTATAGTTTTTTTTTGTCAGGAAAAGTGCATTTGTTTTCTGTCAGCTGTGTGTGTTTTTAGTTTTTATGCCTGGGGCAGTGTGTGTTTTTAGTTTTTATGTCTGGGGCAGTGTGTGTTTTTAGTTTTTAGGTCTGGGGCAGTGTGTGTTTTTAGTTTTTATGTCTGGGGCAGTGTGTGTTTTTAGTTTTTATGTCTGGGGCAGTGTGTGTTTTTAGTTTTTAGGTCTGGGGCAGTGTGTGTTTTTAGTTTTTATGTCTGGGGCAGTGTGTGTTTTTAGTTTTTATGTCTGGGGCAGTGTGTGTTTTTAGTTTTTATGTCTGGGGCAGTGTGTGTTTTTAGTTTTTATGTCTGGGGCAGTGTGTGTTTTTAGTTTTTATGTCTGGGGCAGTGTGTGTTTTTAGTTTGTAGGTCTGGGGCAGTGTGTGTTTTTAGTTTTGTTTTTAATATAGCAGTGTATTATTTATCATTTGACTGACATCTGTTGTATGTGCTATACTAAGTTGACTGTAGCTAATTACCCCGTGCTCTGTATATAGCTGACAACAAACTAGCCAGTTACTAGCATTGATTGATCTGAGTTTTATTCCTGCTGTAAACCAACTGTCCATCGGTGGTGAGGGGGGGGGGGGGTAGGGGGTGGGGAGCCAGTCAAGCTGTGTAATTATAGACAACTTAACCTTTGACGGCTGTCACTGAAGTCTGTGGCCAGATAAAAAGTTTGTTATCTGGTCATGTTCTCAGGCCAAATCCAGGTCATTGTTGACCTTTGTAGGGGAGAGTTGTAATTAAGCTTCAAAAAATAAAGTGGGACTTCACATTAGGCTGGCTATTTTCACCTTTTATTTCATCTAGCCAGGATTTCTCTCCCTAGACCAGCGAATTATAATAAACGTGTGTTTAAACTTTAGGTCTCAGCAAAAATCGCTTCATTATTTATGCTTGTTGAAAAATCTTTTAATTAGTGTATAGTAATGTTTTTAAAACGTCTATTTCTACAAACTTTTTCTACCCATCCTTCTGTCTGAACATTTGATCCGATTCTCTCCCCTACAAATCCATTCGGTCACGGAAAAACCCATTGAGGCTAATTATATTATGTTTGAAGGGGAAATTACTCCGGGTTCTCCACTATTTTTGTACTGCAAAATAAAATGGCGTTTGGTGCTAACAGAGAGCCTCATAGCAAGCCATGTACTGTGGGGATTCTGTGGTTTAGATTCCCGATTCCTTCCTACAGATTTCTCTCTTGAAGTAGTGCAGAACTGTCTTGAATACTTCCACTCTTACATTTAGGGTCCTGCTGATTGAGCTGTGTCACGAAAATGAGTTACATTTTGGGTTATTGGATACCGAAATACCAGGCTGTATACTATAATTACGGGACGGCGTGGTCCGATGATAGAGCGTTTGGCTGCCCGAAGGTTTCGAGTTCGGATCGTTTTTTTTAAATTTGTAACTATAGGACGTCCCTGAGTCTACCTAGCTATGATGGGTACCTGGGGAAAGAAAAGTCAGCTGGGTCTAGTGTTGACCACATATCCCTTCATATGCCAAGGTCAAGAAACATGAACTCTACTTCATCTGCCTAATGGATCGCTGTTTAAAGAGGAATCTTTTACTTTAAACTATTTTTAAGTACTGTATGCCGAATTTAACAGTTATTTTAAAATTAATGTCGTGTCGATTCACAAACTAGATTGCTAGTCATAAAACATAAAATCGACTATGTGAAGTTTTCCCCTATTGCTTCACATGAGATGTGCCGTTAAATTAATGTGCCTTAAATTACTATTAAAAAACAACACGGCCCCCAGACTTTAAAAAACAAACCGCTGGGGAAGCAAATGGTGGGCTGTCCCATCCATCAACCTCTACACTCGCTAATTGAAATGAAAGACCTCGATTTAGAGGTTGTTGTTTTTTAAGTCAGGGTGTATGGAGGAGGGAGGGTGCATAGATTAGAGCACACATACATCAATTGAAGCACGTACACACATACCATCATGAGGACACACACATAAGCACGTACACACATACAAACATAAGCACGTACACACATACAAACATGAGCACACACACACACACGCTTCACACACATTTACCACACAAGCAGACACTATAATAAAGCTGGAGTATTGGTGCTACCATTGACTGACTTTTCTGAAGATGGGTGTGTTAGGTTGTTACTAGTATTGCAGTCACAGGTTTAATGTTAGGGTAAAGTAATAGAGTTTAGGGCTATGATACGGCTTAGGTTAGGGTTTGAGTAAGAGATGCAAGTACATGTAAAGTAACCGTAAACCTAACAGCCTGTTTTTAAGAGTATTCCATTGGTATGCTATTATTGAATGCTGGTAGCACTCTCAACTCCAAAAAGGATATTTTATGCTCGTATTTGAAAGTGCTCATATATTCCTCTTCAGACCTAGCGATCTAATGGGCAGATGAAGTAGAGTTCTTATGTTTCTCGACATTGGCATAAGAAGGGATGGTCTGGTCAGCATTATGCCCAGCCGACTTTACTGTCCTCTCCGTAAGCCAAGTACCAATCAGAGCTGGGTGGACTCAGGGACGACACAAAATCCGAACCGAGTTTCGAACTCAAGACCTTTTGACCACGCCGCCCTTTAAGTGTTCATAGATATCGCATAAAAACCCCCAAAATGATTTCAAACTTGTATTTTTTCCCTCCCTTTTTGATGCCATCTAAGATAGGGGAAACAACTCAGCGTTACAATGCTCCTGTAGTCAGCCTGTATTTTGATGATCATTGTGAATAGAGAGGGCTACAACTCACAACACTGGAAAGTCCCCCTTTAATTTTAAATTCACATTTCCCTTGTGATTTCTCA